GCTCTTACCTCAGAGCTGGACTTAACCTCTCAGTCCTGACTTTCCAGAGCCAGCAGCAGCAGCTCTCTCCCTGGAGCTGGCCTTGGGTTTATTATCTTATCAACAAAGACTCTACTCACACTTCCATAATCCCTCTGATAAAAATTTTTGAACTCTGATTTTGCCTCTTTAACTTGTATTTATTCTGTAAATCCCATGTGTGCAACTATACAGACAGACAGAATTTACTGTGATGTGAGTTGATATTCATAGTTCAGATTGGAATAAAAGAATCTGCCTTTGCCTCAGCCAGATTGCCAAAAGAGGCAGGAATATTTGACAAATTACTGTCATTAAGACTGCTGTGGCTATAGACTCCAGAGATGACTCAGTGGTTAAGAGCACTTGCTGATCATGCAGAGGACTGGGACTAGGCTCCTGGCACCCACCTGGCAGCTCACAGCTGCCTATAACTCCAGTTCCACGGAACCTGATGCTCTATTCTGGCCCCCATGGGTACCAGGAATGCACATGGCACACATATATTCATGTACGCAAGCATTCAGACATATAAAACAAAAATGATAAAATGTTTTTTAACTGCTACATTTATGAACTTATTGTTATTCAATAAATTCTGGCTGTGGAAAGACACAAATTTGTCTCTTTCTAACATAGCACGTCATGTGGTCCTTCCTTGGTTTGGTTTCAGTTTTTTCGTGTATCCCACTGTGTGCATGTGCACCACTCTGACTTTTGTGTGAGGCCTCAGCCCACCTCCTGATGCCCGCATCCAATACCACAAACATGGCAATGCTGTGAGTTTGCTCTCAGGAAGCTCCCACAACTCTGACTTTTCCTTCCATTCAGCCAACCCCAGCCAGGACACCCCTGAGTAAAGCTTCCAACACCTATGTGGGAAGCGAGAAACTTCTTACCAAGCGTCAAGTGACTTGTTCCCACACAAGCTTTCCAGAAACAACATTGCCTTAGTCAGGATGCTGAAACTCTGACCAAAGCAACTTGGAAAGTGTCTTAGTTAAGATTGCTCTTTCTGTGAAGAGACACCATGACCAAGGCAACTCATATAAAGGAAAACATTTAATTGGGGCAGGCTTACAGTTTCAGAGGTTTAGTCCATTGTTGTCATGGTGAAAAGTATAGTAGCATGCAGACAGACATGGTGCTGGAGAAGGAGCTGAGAGTTCTCTCTTTTGTTGTTGTTGGTTGGTTTTTTATTTGTTTGGTTTTGTTTTTTGGTTTTTGCTTCCTTCTTTTTTTATAATTTTTTTTACATTAATTATAGTTTATTTGCTTTGTGTCCTAGCTGTAGCACACTCCCTCCCTCATCTCCTCCTTGCCCCTCTCTAAGTCCACTTATAGGGAAGGTCCTCCTCCCCTTCCATCTGACTCTAGCTTATCAGGCCTCACCAGGGATGGCTGCAATGCCCTCCTCTGTGGCCTAGCTAGACTGTTCCTCCCATGGGGGGCTGGGGAGGTCAAAGAGCTAGCCATAGAGTTTATGCGAGAGACAGTCCCTGTTCCCCTTACTAGGGAAGCCACTTGGATACTGAGCTGCCATGGGCTATGTCCGAGCAGGGGTTCTAGGTTATATCCATGCATGGTTGGTTTTAGTTTTTGAGACAGGGTTTCTCTGTGCAATAGCCTTGGTTGTCCTGGACCCAATTTGTAGACCAGGCTGCCCTCAAACTCATGAAGTTGGCCTCTGCCTCTCAAGTGCTGGGATTAAAGATGTGTGTCACTATGCCCCATGAGAGTTCTCCATCTTAACTCAAAAGCATCAGGAGACTTGTATATCACACAGGATGTAGTATAGCCTGAACATATGAGACCTCAAAGCCTACCCCACACTGCCACACTTTCTCCAACCAAACCACACCTACTGTAACATGGCCACACCTCCTAATAGTGCCACTCCCTATGGGCCAAGCATTCAAACACATGAGCCTATAGGGACCATTCCTATCCAAACCACCACAGGGAAGGAAGGGCTTATTTGCCTTGTATTTCTACTTATTGAAGGAAGCCGTGATAGGAACTCAAACAGGGCAGGAACCTAGAGGCAGGAGCTGATGTAGAGGCCATGGACCCATCCACAAGCGTCCTTCCCCATCCATCATGAATTAAGAAACTGCCCAACAGGCTTGCCTCCAGCCTCACCTTATAGAAGCATTTCCTTAACTGAGATTCCCTCCTCTTAGATAACTTTAGTGTAGGTCAAGTTGACAGGAAAGCATCCAGCAAAAGCAGTAAGAGCCCAGCCTTTTTATTTTAGATGGGAAAGTCACATGACCCCCCCTCCAACTTGGGGGCTCTCAGATATAAGTCATCCACATCTCAGGGAGAAATCAAAGTTCAAACTGTTGGTGTGTGTGTGCGTGTGTGTGTGTGTGTACAGAACCCAGTGTCTTGAACATGCTAAGCAAATACTCTATCACTGAGCAATACCTCAAGCCCCAAAGTTACCACTGGCCTTCACTCTTGGCACTGGGTAAATGAGAGTGGGATTCCATCTGTGCAGCACCCTTCCCTGGAGATGTCTGTGTTCTAACTCATACAGTGGTGCAGAAAGGGATGTTGCTAGCAGTTTTTTTTCATGTGCAAAGCTTCTCATGAAACAATCAGGAAAATCCCTGCTGTGCCACACAACTGACTGTCAGGAGCCTTCAAAGGGGCTGAGAGTCCTGCTCTATCCCTCTCACCTTATGAAACTGAGAGTACTGAGTGCTGCCCTGCTCCTGTTAGGTAGATCCACGTGTCTGCGCATGAGTGAGTGCACATGTCCACGTTGGCACCGCTGTGTGCGTGGCTATGTGCAATGAACACAGATGCGCACATCTGCATGCACCTGTGTACACATGTGCTCATACAGCACACATCTGAGTACCCGAGGGCACCTGAGTATGTGAAAAACACAGTTTGCACCCCAAGCAAATACTGAGGCTTCATCTACCTGAGGCATCAGTGTCATTGATACTTGGGGATAATGAGCATTGGGAGAGGGTTAGGCAGGATCGGCCACAGATGTTCCAAGCCACCATTCTGCAAAGTTGCACCTACTGTATAAGAATTGGTCAGAAACTTCCACCTTTAGTAACTGGAAAATATTTAACAAAAATGGGTACTTCAGTGATGTTTGCTGACTCTTCATGGCTTATTTTAAAAACAAAGCTTGAAGCCATGGTTGTGGTTAGTCATACATATGCCAGGGTTTTGTTTATAATGATCATATAAATATGTATAAAAATTTAAAAACAGGAGCTCACATATGCAAATTCTGATATGAAAAGCAGAACTTGCCTGATGTTTTAGAAATTCCCGAACCTCCAAGGACAGTCCACCTTGTCCACAAGGAGATTCCCAGGGGTGGTTTCTCTATCTCTGATGGGATGTCTTGCCCCTACTTATATCATATAATGTGGTGTCATCTTAGTTTTTCCTGTTGCTGACATTCTAGAAGTGAAATAATGATGAATACAGCAATTTGGTTTCATCGTCTGGGGACACTTTACATCCAGAGGGAAGCTGTTTGCATTGTTTCACCGTATTGCATCACCTAAAGACATCAACCTGTACACATCTGCTCTTGGCCACACGGTTACCGACTGTCTCAGCTTTGCCATGGAGGACTCTGCCACCATGGACTTTCTTTCCCACATCTTCTGTGCCATGTAAGCTTTCTCCAAGCAGCCAAAGTAACAGCCTTAGGACAAGAGGTGAATTACCAAACCATATACATTTATACAGGTTAAATTCGGTTAATGATAGGATTTGTGACAAAGATCATGGGTAAGAACACACCATCATTTTCATTTCTGGTGGGTGACGTTATTACTGTCATAGGTCTGGACTGCATAGGAGGAAAGTAAGGGACATAGAAAAGTGGGATTCCACATCATAGAGACACAGAAACGAATGCTATGGTTTCTGGGGTAAACTCTAGAGTGTCATTTGTAACATTTTTATATTTCTATTTGCAGAATGATTAGCATTTGTGACTCAGGGATGCTATTTTCTGATCCTATCTCCAAAGGATGACCCAAGGCAGAGTAGTATCCTGGAAGTTTCTAAATGGGAGGAATTAGTCCGTTGGGACAAACACAGCCATGTTCCTAATTCTGTGTACCTTGCTTGGAGAAGATACCTCATTTGGTTCATTTCTCCAATAAGGAGGTCTTCTTACTGTCAGCACTGGGAATGGAGTGAGAGATGCAGGAGGCTGGGGCCAATCTATAGGAAATGAGCCCTGGTGGACAAAGTCAAAGGCCAGAGTGTAGTTAAGAGAGGCCCAATCTTTGGTGGCATGTGGAGATTCAAATGACATATTTGAAGTGTTGGCAAGGTCCAGAGACCCCAGTAACCCAAGTTGATCCACAAGCTCAACCAACAGCAGAAAAATACTGCAGCTTGTCACATACACATGCTTCCCTTGGCTGCCTTTCTTGCAAGCCAGGCCCTGGGCTGATCTTCATAAAGCCAGCTGTACCCCACCAGCCAGGCTGTATCAAGCCTTTTAAATTTCTGGTCAGCTTACACTACCTGGATTGGACAGCAGAGGGTGATACAGCACTGCCCGGGTCCACCCTGAGTTTGGGAATGGAGAAAATCATGTCACAAATCTCACAGGACTAAAAGGCTGTCCCAGGCTCTGGAATGGCTCTTCTGCTCTCCTCTTCCTGACAACAGGCTCTTCTCAATCTACGTCTATCAAGGAATGAGTATATAGAATTTTTAAAATACATAATTTTTTTTTTGGTACAATTGCCTAATTTCTTACTTTTTAATGACATGAAATCTAACCACCTTTGAGATAAATATCTGAAAGTTTTCATTCATTTAGAATGAGTCTGAAGAAACTCCCACATCAAATTTGAATAGTTTGAAAATGCTCCAATAATGCTTAAGGGAATAATCGGTTGGTCCAACCCACATTTCTTACTGTCAAATGCAGCCCGTTCCATACATTCTTAATGTAAAGTGCACTCCAAGCCACACAATGGGATATGAAAAATAGATTTATTGACAGGGAGTTCCAGGCTTGTCCTAAGTCAAAATGCGCAGGGCTCAGGCCTTCCCCAGGCTCTTCTTGATGAAGTGGCCCACCAGCCGCTGAGGCCTCTGCTGATATTCAACCAGCACATCATGGGGAGTGTTGATCTGGTCCCCTTGCAGTCTGTCCAGGAGAGTGACACACACCACAGCCGCTGAAAAAAACAAAACAAAAACAACCCTCATCAAACCAAGGAGGAAGGCCAGGGCTAGGGAGCTGAGGAGCAGCCTGTGAGTACCTCAGTAAATTGGCAGTGCGTTGCTAAGGAGGGGAGGGGCTGTGCTGTGAGGATGGAGGAAGGCACAGCCTCCACCAACTCCAATACATCACCTATACCTTTGCCTTTGGTTCCAAAATAAATTCCACAGTCAGTTCCAGGGCTAGCTCCCAGCTGCCCTGTGCAGACCTGCAGGGTGTATATTGTCTCGGACCACAGGGCACTGGCAGCTCCGAGAGGTAATGCTGGACTGGAAGGGTGCTCAAGACTAGACAATAGCATGGATTAACCCTCCAGAAAGGCAAACAGTGCTGAAAGCCAAGCTCTTGGCAGGGCTGGGCAGCTCTCTGGGCAGCAGAAGATCTTAACCACCACCTTTCTGACCCCTCTCAGAAGTTTGGGAGCATCTGCAAGAACACTGGCAACCATGTGTGACTATCAAGACACTGGCTGTGCACCAGGACTGCCAGGACTGCAGGGCTGCAGAAGCTGACCAAGGGAAACAAAAGTGAGACATCAACACAGAGGTACTCTTAGAGGAGGGATCCTCCATGATGGGCCAGCAAAAGCGCCACATAGAGGACACCAAGGCCATCACACATCTTCCTACCTCTAAGGCCACAGGCACTGCACATGGTGGCAAACAGTGAAGATTCCATCTCGATATTTCGGACGCCTGCGGCATGGGCTGCATGCAGATAGGCCTGTTTGTCCTTCTCTGTGTAGGAGCAGAGGGCACCATCCAGACGGCCTTGCCCTGCGTGCAACATATGAAGACAGGATAACCATGTCCACACAGTCAGAGCCTTGGTCACCATGCCATATATTCCATTAAGACACAAGAGACGAGAGGGCCCACTCAGGCCTTGTCTGTCCTCAAGGGGTCGATGGCTGCTCAGACCACTATGAGAGCCATCACAGAAATACTGTGACTGGGTCAGAAGCCCACAGGCAGAAGCACCACACCTTCAGAGAGCAGGCTTCGGGTGCTTTGTGCTTTGACGGATCCCTAGAGGAGAAATGCCCTCACTCCCTCTCACCCTCATAGAAGTCCAAGGTACACATGGTGTTCCCCACAACAGTGGGGAATTCATTCAGGTCTAGGGCGCACTTCAGCAACTCCTGCACCAGCTCTGTGTCCAGGTTGGTGCTGCGAATCACGCGCTTTCCTAGGACAATCTGCTCAAACTCTGGCTTGAAGCACTCATCCACTGCCTGCTGGGTGATGACTACAGAACCGGGCTCCAGACCTGAGAAAGAGGCAAGCGTGTCATAGTTACAGTTGACAAAGCAGCACAGCAGAACACAGGAACAACAAACACGATGCATTGACACAGTCAAGTACTGGAAGCACCACAACATATGCCCAAAGCCCTTTTCCCTAGTAAGAGTGTTCCCTGACTGGGAATCTGCACAAAATCATTGCTGAAAGCAAGGACAAGCAGACAGAGCAGCAATCTCCCCAGGGTCTCTGCATCCTCTGTCAAATGTTTCTGTCTTGCAGGCGCCGCCACTGACTAACACTCCACCACCTAGGGAACCATGTTAATCATTCCAGATTACATCTTTATTTTGCAAACTTTCAACCAGATACAAAAGCAGGGGAAATAATAGAAAACCCCCATGGTAGCCCAAATACAGCCTAAACCTTTTCTAGCTCCTGACTAGCCTGTTTTTCCTCTGCAACCAGCAACAACCCTCTCCTCTGCTCGCATTGGAGGTCCATCATTCTGGAGTACTTGCATGTTTGCAAGAACTCTGCTCCTCTTTTTCTCTTGGGTTACTATTTTCTTATGCAATATGGCTGTTGTTAGGTTTGAAATCCTACCTACAATGCAGAGACCTGAATGACTAAATCTAAGGCCATACTGTCCCTGTAGTCAATAAAGCCTGCTATCAATGGCCTCATGTTCCTGGTGGACACAAGAATCACTAGAAATCAGTTCCTATGGAGACCTTATATGAAAAGAAATTGCTTCAGAGATTATTTAACTCCTACTGCTATGGTATGTCACTGCCCAGCACACACACATACACATGCACACACCTCACTGCCAAAACCCACACTGAAGATAGACCCCACTGTGAAAAAGACTCAGGACCAGGTGGGACCTGTGAAAAGTGGCCGTCACTCTGCTCTAAAGAATGGATTAACTCATTCGCTGAAATTAATGGCGGATGAGTGGTCAAGCTGGGGCCGTACTCCCTATCTCCCATATATGATTAAATCTAGACTCTACCAGGAAGGCTTCACCCAGCTACGGGCCAGGCCGTAATTATGAGGCCAAGCAGATCTTCCTGCCTTTATCACAGCAAATAGAGCAAGACACAGTTCAACAGTCAAATCCTCGTCTTCATCTTGGGTTATTAGTGTATTTATTTAGTTGGTTTTGGGGGGTTGGGGATTTTTTTTGTTTGGTTTTTTTGTTGTTTCAGGACCCCTTTGTTAGTTTTGTCTCCCACCCCCCCACACACACACACACCCTTACATGTTGATGAAATGGGGCACAAGCAAAAAGGAAGGCCCTTGAACAACCCTGTACACGTCCACACTGTGCTAGAGCCACTGCAGGGCTGTGGCCCCTCCTTCCACCCACAGGACGTGAATCCCTCCCTCGCCCTCACCTATCCCGCCGGATGTGCCGATGCGGATGATGGTGATATTGGAGCACCTGGCATGGTACAGCATCTTGATGAGCTCGTGCAGCATGATCCCAATGGAAGGAATGCCCATGCCGTGCTGAAGACAGAGAGATGCATAGGCTCAGCCCAGCGCATGAAAAGCTCCATCCAAACAAGGAACTCACTCTGCATTTTAAGTCATGCAAGGTCAACTACATTTCCCACAGGAAGAGATTTTGAGAGAGAGTGCATTCAAGTAACCTTTATTATGTTACACAGCTCTAACTATTCTACTTTATTAATCATTACTGTCTTTCTTTTGCTACACCTAATTCACACACTCAAATGCATCATAGGTTTGTGTCTATGAAAGTAATATTCATATTTATTGGTTTTGATACACTTCTGCTTTGAGGCATCCACTGGGACAAAGCTTTTTGGAACAAAGCCATGTGTGTTAGGGTTTTCTTTTGTTGTTTGTTTGCTTGTTTGCATTGGGGTTTTTGGTTTTGCTTTGTTTTGGTTTTTTTGTGAGGTTTTTTGGGTGGTTTTTTGTTTGTTTGTTTGTTTGTTTATTTGGTTGGTTGGTTTTTGGTTTTTCAAGACAAGGTTATTCTGTGTAGCCCTGGCTGTTCTGGACTCATGCTGCCTTGAACTCAGCCTGGCCTTGAACTCATAGAGATCCACCTGCCTCTCCCTCCCAAGAGCTGGCAGATTAAATGAATGTGCCACCAAGGTGCTGCTACTGTATATTTTATGCAGTGTACTTCAACTAATAAAATCATCATTTGAAAATGAAAGACAGACTTCCAAAATATTAACAGAGCTGTCCTATGCATGGCTTCATTTGACGCACACAACCTATATAGCTGCAGGAAGGAAGTAGCTACTATTGCTATGTAACAAACATTTTTTCTGATATTTGAAGCCATGTACAAAGGCCCACCATACTGGATAAGGTTTTACTACTGGACTTTTCAACCTCCCTCTCCAGTTTAGCAAAACAAGGTAACTGTCTGGTTCCTCGATCCCTGACATCAGACACTTCTACCTCTGCCTTATCCTTCTTGCCTCTGCAATGCAACCCCACTCCTCCACACACCTTTCAGAGACCCTCCCACACTCACATCTCCTAAGACACCTCTCCCCTCCTTGAGCAGCTGCTGGCACTATGGCAGAGCCTTATTACAAAGGGACCCCTCCCAGAATGTCAGACGTGGGAAATGCTTCCACCAAAGGCACCAAAAGGGTGCCTTTGCCATCAAATGATTCTACAGTACTGATATATTTGGATGTCTAGCTCAAAGGTAAAGACACAAATCTCAACAGGAAGGGAGTGCACTACTGATCTGTAGTTCATTATATTATTGCCATCAAGGGAAACCAAAGCTAGAAAAATCACCCCTTTGATATGATACTGGAGATTCTTCTGTATTAACTTTTATTGCTCACTCAACCTCTGTTCTAAAGTAGGTCAGTCACTGTAAGATAGAAAGAGGCATGGAGGCCTGGTATGTGGCTCTTCTCACAGCCCTGGGCCAGGCAGGGAAACTCCTCCTGGAAACTGCCACCCCACACGCTGGACAGCTGTGCATATTTGCATGTGTATCTGCTTTTGTATACCTAGGCTCTCTAGGAAGCTAAGCCTCATGGCCAGGAGCCTAGGACTTAGTCACGCCCAGTTCCCAGCTGCTGAGAGCTCACCATGCTCCCAGTCATTTACAGTAAACAAATGTTAGGGCACCAGCTGTCCAGCTGTTCACACATGCAGAAGTGTGGGACATGGGGCCTCAAATCCAAATGCAGGGCATACTCACACTCACAGACAGCACGGGTCCAGCTTTGTACATGGCGTAGCGGTCAGTGCCCGCACAGATGTTGGGATACTCTTTCCCTGGATGGTCAAGTCCCAGCTCTGCAGCCACGTACCTGATGAAGGTACTCATCCGGGAAGGGCTGCCACCGACACACACAAACTGCAACCCAAGAACGGGGACCTCATCAGTACACTGTGTCATCAGAAGGCTGCAAAGCTTACCAGCAGCAGTGGGGTCACCTGGGAAGGCAGTTTTGGTTTGGACTGAGACGGCTGGAGTACCTCCCTGTCCTTCTAGCACCTCCTGTGACCAGAGTCCTATGACCTGGTGTTAAAATGGCCAATCACTCTCTCACTTGGGCAACTGAGTGGCACAGAAAAGGGGATCTGGGATTCGTAGGTGGAGAAGTAACACCTTCACTTTGCAAAGTGTCATCTAAGAGGAGATTTTGCTTTGCCAAAGAATCGTAAAGAGTAAAAAGTGATTTAGTGGAATCTGAAGATAAAAGAAATAAATGCACCACTAAAAATGAAAGGCTATGCCCATAGCCTGCAATAAAAAAAAAAAAAGAAATTAGCAATATTGGGATAATTTCTTAATTCAGTGAATTAAGAGAAATGAAAGCTGCCCACCTACCCACGGCAGATGGGACCCAGCTTTGGTGCTCTGACCCCATCGTGGTTTGTAATTGCATGTGTTAATTCATCTTTATCAGGATTAGGTACTGAGGCGTCCTGTTTTAGTAGTATGCTAGCTATAGTTAACAACTGCATATTTAAATAACTATGAATTTCAAAACCGCCAGTACATAGGATACTGAGTGTTCTCAACTCAAAGAGTGACCAGTTCCTGAACACAGTTCCAGACGTTGTGAACACCTGGCCATTCTGCTCATCGTTTCACATGGCACACACGGAATGGGGTGCCAGTGCTCCTTGTAAGCACGCCAACACGGTTACGGGTCACTTAGAAACAACTCTTACTAAAGAATTTTGTGATAATTTAGGATAAACTAGCACTGAGGACCGAAGACTTTGTACTGGAGTTGTCTTCATCAAAATTAGGCCTCAGCCAATTAAAAACAATGTCATCAATATACACCTTCAACGGCAAGCAGGGATCATACAGACTCTCAACATTGGCTCTGCACCTCTCAGAAGTGTTTCAGCTCCTGCTTCTCCAATAAGTGTTAGAGAAGTGATTTTGAGGTAGACCTCTCTATGTTGTCTAGGCTGCCCCTGAACTCCTGGAATCGGGTAATTCTCCTGCCTCAGTCTCTGGAGTAAGTACTTTGAACAAAGGCCACCTTGCATGGCTTGGGAGATTCACATGCTGTTCACTTACATATGAAAGTTCTAAGAGATGAAGTAGGAACCGCCATAACTGTTGTTAAAATTTGATTTCTTGTTTACTTGCTAGCTCATATAAACACAAGGCAACAATTTGCAAATGTCTGAAAAAGATATAACATAGTCCTGTCTCTTGTCAATCATCTGTGAGAAGTTGTGGCTGTATCAAAGAGGAAGGTGACTGTAAGGCAATCCTTAGAATCAAAGCCTGGACTTTTTACCTTCACATCTCCAAACATAGCGGGGAAATCGTGTGTGCTAGTGCTGAGGTTGAAATGGTAGAGAACATCTTCCTTCATTGTTGCTATGTTTGGATTTGAAAGTTGAACGAAGCAGTCACTGTTGAAACAAAAGCAAAAGGGTAATAGACCATGGGTGTGTAATGGCCAGCATTACCACAGATATGTTCCATGTACATGAGGTGTTTGAGAGATGATGGGGAAGAGACACAAGCAGATCCTGGGGAGAAAATAACCCCACATTGCCAAAGTCCCAACATCTCTTTCTCCTTCCTCTTAATTCACCTTTGTTCCTAGATCCCTGTTTGAAGGCAAACAGCAAGACTTCAGAAGAGCCAACAAAATTATAAAGACCAAATTGATAAATCAACCCATACAAAGAATGCTAGTTGCTACTTCAGTCAGTTATATTCATATATAAACTTGAGTGTTTTGAAAGTATGTTCCCTATTGGACAGAAAAGATGAAAAGTCTCCTTTGTTGCCAGAGATAACCTCCAATCTAAGTGCCTATAGTTTCTTTTTTGTGCCTTGGTGCATTAGCTACCACTTCTCAGAATGGTGACACTAAAAGTGTCACAAGAGAAGAGATGACTCAGTGGTTTAGAGCACTGTTCTTGCAAGAGGACCAGGGTTCTATTCTCAGTACCTACATCGTGGTTCACAACTATTTGTAACTCCAATTCCAGGGACTCCATAACCCTCTTCTGGACTCCATGGGCACATACATACATGTAGGCAAAACACAGGTTTAAAAACAATAACAACAAAAAACAAAAACCTTTTTTTCTTAAAAAGATTGCCATGCTGTAACTTCCTACCATTTTGCTTTCCTTCAGAATGGCAACTAGAACACTTTGTATGTGAATCAAATGACTTTTGCAGGACAACATGCTTCTGTTCTAAAGAGGGCTTAGCAGACTGTATTTCAGAGAAGGCCAGATGGTAAACACGGCCATAAACCATTAAGCATCTGTCACAAGTCTGCCACTGTCTCCTGAAAGCAAGAGACAAGGAAGGCAAACACATGATATTATACTTCAATGGAGTTTATTTACAAACACTAGTGCCCCAGGACTACCCGATTCCAGATCTACCCTGCCAACCTTCCTCAGAGCCAGTCTTCAACACAACTGCAACAGTACGTGATTCCTGATTCTCCACAGCAGGACAAAAGCAGGTAGGTGTAAATCCTTGACTATGGAGAGATCATGACTACTGTTCCTTCCTTCTGAGTATCTGATTTTCTGCCCAGAACCAACTGGTGACACATACTCTTCAATCTAACTCATGAGAAATAGATAAGAAAGCGATGAACCAGCCATCATCAAAATGTAGAAATACTGATGATCCTGACTCACAATGATTTGAACATGCTGTGTGTTGAGTTGAGTATGGACCTTTTTCTTGAAAACTGTGCTACCAAGCTGATTTGGGGTTTATTATACTAAGTAAATGCCATGATGGGTTTGTGGATATCTAACCCTGTTGTAATCCAAGAAGGACCTGTACCACTTCACTAAAGGCTTCCCCTCCCTTCATAGGATGCTCCTTTTAATTACCTGTTTTGTTCACTTCTTTTCCTTTCTTTCTCTTTTGGAGATAGGACCTCACTGTACCACAGATTGGCCTCCCAAGTTGTAGCCTTGAGCTCCCCCCTCAATGCTGGATTATAGATGCATACCACCATGCCTGTTTTATGTGGTGCTAGTGACAGAGCCCCTGGCATAGGAAGCAAGTAAGCCACTCCCTCAGCTCCCCTTTTTTGGGTTTTTGTTTGTTTGTTTTTCTTTAGATAGGTTTCATTTTGTTGGCCAGAAGGGCCTTGAACTCAATATACCTGCCTTGGCTTCCTGAGTGCTAAGATTACAGGCACATTCAATACATTTGGCTATCTACATTTTATCTTTAGAATAGTTTATACAATTAATCTAATTATAATTATCAGAATCTCCTCTGGAGTCTATGCCATGTCTTATTTATCTATCACACACACACACACACACACACACACACACACACACACACACTCACATACACAAAGCTGAAGGTTGAACCAAACCTGTCCCAATTTGTCTATTTCACCTAGTTTTCATTGCTTTTCTTTCTGGTAGTCAGTCAACCTCAAGGGCAGACACTGAGCGCTCCCCCTTTTCCCTTTACCCTCTCTCTGCACCCCTTCCATGTTTCTCAAACCCCACTCCAGTCTCTTCCCCTAGAATGGTGTCCAGAGTAATTCAACACAGGAAACTTTTCCAAAGATTGCTATACAAAAGATAAGCATAAGACTCAGGATAAAGTCATAGTTCTCTCATCAAGAGAGTGAGTGGTGAGATCAACAAGGTTAGAGGCCAGGTAGCCACAGCACACATATAGCAGGACGAGGGCACACCAGAAGGCCACACAGCAGGACAGTGTAAGCACACCTTGGGCAAAGGTGCTACATAAACCTTGCTGAGGGGGAGGAAGCCCTTTGTGGTGGGACCAAATGCAGCGCATATACGGCTAGATTTTCCCAGAAAGCACCTTTGATCTCTAGGACAATCTGAAATTCCAACCATCATAGCACACCCTTTCTCCACTTAGCCACAGCCTCCTTCAGGATATGGCAACTAAGAAACACAAAGCAGAAGGGCAAACTTTATGCTTCATAATGACACAACAGGATGTGATTAAGACAACTCAGCCACACACAGAAAACCTTTTTTTTTAACTTGTTAATTCCAGGAAGAGCAGAAGGAAGCAGTACATAACCATGAGAATAGCAATGATTTCAAAACTCATGAACTCTGACATGTACGTGCACTAGAACAGTCTCCAACACACTGTTTAAAGGATTCAAGAGGGAAGATTTAGTCTGCATCACTTTGAACTGTATTTAACATGCTTTATAGTCACCTTATTCATTTGCCACTACTGAGGCCACTGAAGGATAGGAACCACCTCACAGAGCCCCAGCAGAGGGTGGACCACCCTGTGGTGAGGAAATTAGAAAGGCTCATTGGACTTCAAACCCATGCAGGAGGTCCATGTGTCTCAAGGTAGAAATGTGTGCTCACTACAGCATGCTCAAGACCCTGGGTTGGATGTACACGAACACATGCATACACACTGGAGTCAGAGAAAGACAAGAATGTTTAGCTCTTTGACAAGACCTAAACCTAAGAGAATTTGCAAAAAAGCACACCTTTGAATTATGAAAAAACTACAAAGCAGGGAAAAAGCATTCAAGAGTCAGAAAAAAAGACTAAGATGGGAGATTCACAGGGGATTTTGTCTCAGAAAAGTGCCACACATAGAAGAAACCTGTAAGACACCTATCTAAGCACTGAACTGCCTCGTCTTCTGAGCTCACGTAACCTGAGGGTTAAAGAGAGAAGCTCCCGGACCTGAATTTGTAAGCCCTCCAAAGCCCTTCATCTCTCACTCACTGTTGTGAAAGTCATGTTAACACATGTAAAGAACTTGGAAAATGGAGTGCATTAGAGGATGTTTACTTAATAAAATCAACCCAACCCAGCCTAGCCCAGCCAAGCCTAGCCCAGCCAAGCCCAGCCCAGCCCAGCCTGGGTCAGTCTTACTTGTGATGGTTTTCGAGGTCCTTTGCTTCAGTTCCTGTAGCTGCCATGTTCTCACTATTGCAGGACCTAGGGAGGAAAACATCACACAAAAGAAAATCAACCCAAAAGAAATTAAGGTGGTGTGAAATATCGCTCATGTGGGAAATCTGTGCCAAGAAACAGAATTCTTCAACTTACATCCTATACACCGTGTATACATCATGTCCACACCAGTGTGTGTGTGTGTGTGTGTGTGTGTGTGTGTGTGTTTACATCCACATGGCTGGACCCACACTTGTGTTGTTTAGATTGTTTAGGAATAAAGTTGAAGTTTGTAGGGCCCCATCCCAGCAACAGTCAGGATGTCCTTGACCCTACCATCCACTCCACTCTGCCTCGACCTTATGCAGTCTTGAACATCCTCTTCCTGTTTAAGGATGGCAGAGGTTGCAGGGATTGGAAGAGGTGGAGCAGCTGCAGCTACCAGCTCCAGGGAAGGCTATTGAGAAGCTGATGTGGGCTGCTGCTGCAAGCATGGCTGCTGAGCCTTGCAGCATGCCTAACCACAGTTGTTTCCTTGTGGCTCATGTGGGAAGTGCAGAAAGCAGAGCATCAGGAAGAGCCATGGGTCACAGGCCACTCAGTAAAACTGCAGGCTGTATGTAGGCAATTCATGAACGCAAGCTGAAAGGCCCCTTTGTTGGGAAGTGTATTTATATAACTATCATTATCATAACATACTGATAGCTTTCAGTAAAGTTTGCAAACTAGAGAAAATTACAGTAGTTGGTTTCAGAGCAAAAATTCCTCTGCAGTCAGTGCTTGACCCTCTTCATCTGGCTTTTGTTCTCCGTTGGCACTGGTGACACACTTGTCTGGAAATGCCAGCTTGTTGCTGTCCAAGAAGGGAGCCAAAGGAGGGATGAGTTCTATTGGTTTTATTGTGGTGGCATTGAGGGGAGGAGCCCAAGGAAGGTATGTGTCAGGCAGATGCTCCATCACTGAGCTGCATCTCTATGCAGGGAAAGAAGTACCATCCTTCACCTGGTAATACCAACATTCCCAAGTCAAACACAGTGGAAAGAAGGAAAGAGCACTTGTAACTGGCAGAAGAGAGAAAGGGCAGCTTTGCCTAGAAGTTGCAGAAAGGACAGAGCTGGTGGGATGTGAGAGAAGTGATCCCTATGCTGTTCCAGAGGACAAGATGCTTTCAATATTTTTCCATTTACATGTTTTCATTTACTGGGGAGAGGCAAGGGCATTCCACACTGTAGATGTGGATGTCAGAGAAAAACTTGTGGGAATCAGTGATCTCCTTCCATCATGTGTTTTTGGGCTCAAGCTTAGGCTGTCAAGCTTGGCAGCAGCAACGCTTACCTACTAAGCCATCTTGTTGGCCCCAGCTATTATTTTAATGGCCAAGTGTATTACATACAGAGTTTGCCTGGGTGCTGTTGGCAACATGAGTAGCATGTAAGATAGTAAGAGTGGATCATCCCAGAAAACTGAACAGCATGGGCTGAATTAAGGAATGTGAAACTCTGTAAATCAATGTGGTCAGCAGTTAGTGCTTGGACCCTTGTGTGTCGGTGGGATTTATCGTGCCTAGTGTAAAAAGCATTTCTGGTACGGTGGCTTGAATAAAGTGTCCCTGATAGGCTCAAGCATTTGAACACTTGGTTCCTGCTTTTGGGCGCTGTTTGGAGTGGTTTAAGTGCTGAAGCCCTGGCAAAAACAAGTACATCACTGTGGGTGGGCTTTGATACTAAAAGCCTCATGCCATGCTCTCTCTGCCTCACGTTTGCAGTTAAAAATGCAATTCCTCGGTTTCCTGCCCTCCCTCCACAAAGGCTGCTTGGTGCCCTATATTCCTGTCACTGTGTTCTCTTACCCCGCCAGAACTGTATGCTTAAATTAACTCTTAAATTAATTAAGTCATGGTGCTTTATCATAGCAACAGAGAAGTAAACTAATATACTGGGTAACACTGCTGGGATTCAGAGAACAAGATGTTTTGAGCATGTACAATCTAATCTGGAGAAAATCAGAAACCTCCCTGGAATCCCTGATTGCACAGTAGAACTGGGTATCTCCCAGTTTACTCCTAGGGAGTGGGGAGGGCTGACTCAGGAGGATGTCTGTCATTCCACTCACAGTAGTTTGTCTCAGCTCATTCTCCTGATAATCATTCACAAATTCTCAAAACTGTATTAGGCCAAAATGCCTGATGTAGGAGGAAACATTTAATTTGGCTCATAGTTTCAGAGAGTTCAGATATGCATTTTGGTATCAAAGGGTAGCAGAGCACAGACATTCACATCAAGCAGAACCAGGAAGCAGAGAAAGGGGATACTTCTGCTTTTCTTTTTCCCGATTTCATGACATTTGGACCCCACTGACAAGGTCATATTGCTTCCTCTGTAATCCTCTCAGGAAACACCCTCAAGCACATCTAACCTCACCAATTGCTGTGTGCACCAATCTCCTGGATAATTTGCAAAACAGTCTGCAATAAAGATTAGCCATCACCCACGTAGAAAACACACCAACAGCAGCCTGGCTGGAAAAACACCACTTAAGCCACGTGCTCCAAAGAATTTTCAGAAGGGAGACTTACAACCAAACCAAGAGAGCAGGCTACAAGATGGCCATACTAATGACAGGGGTGAGGTATTGTCACTTGGGGAAAACCCATAAAGTACCCTCAGAAGTCTCCAGAGTCACTCAAGTGTCAGACAACCTGTCAGCACAAGAGCACAGCACTTAGAACAAGTTAAACCTAAATTCACTAGTTCACTCCCATCGCCTACTACTCCTTTGCATTCAGGCCTGAGTTTCGGATAGGGGACCACACAGACTAGAATGTCACTAACTTCTCTCTAGCCAAGAAACCACTTCTACTATAAACAGATTTCAGGATGAAAGCTGTGGCGTCTCTGCCTTTGTATTGCGTCTGTCCCCTCAGCTGCCTTAACCCTTGGATCAAATTCTTCTCAGCTGGGCATGTTGACACACTGGAGAAATGTTTTCATCACAGGACTTAACAGTTAACTAAGCCTGTTGACGACTGGTGCAATGCGCTTTCTGGGCAGCTGGGTAGTACCTAAGCCTTATCATGAGACCTAGACAGAATCATAGGGCAGGGTGCTTATGCAAGACAATACCTTAGCAGTCCCTGAATTAGCTTACCACTCATTAACCTGCAAACCTCAAAGCAAGATGCTTGGGCACAAGAAGGAACACATCTTTTGAAACCACACCCCTAACCAACAGACAATTAGCAAACTCTAGCCCAGCCCAGAAGAATCACCTTAACAACAAGCCGCTTCTCAGGTGCTTAGAAGGCTGCAGGCTCATCTCCGACCTGTCCAGGCTTGGGCTAGAGCTGACGCTAGTCAGATAGTCAGCTAGAGCTAAGATCTTTGTTGGTCCTCATATATTTTGGTCTCACTCCCATCATTCCCATGGATAAGACCAGCTAGCTGTCTGTGTCATATAAAGAACTCTAAAACAGGCAACACAAAGCCCATGAGACCATAGAAAAAGAGACGGTCTGCTGCAGAAAGCCAGCAGCTTACAAGGCAAGAGGCAAACGAAACACAGGCAAGTGTTGATCTCCAAACATTTGTGGCCCTTCAAGCACCTGGAGGTAGCAGGAAGAAGAGTTCACAGCGTGTGGTAAATAAGACCAACAGAGTACTGCATGTCAGATGTGAATGAAGAGGTCCACAGTAAACCCAGTAGTTGCTTGGATTTGGAAATGATTCCTGTAGACCCACCTATTAAGGTTTGGTCATCAGCTGTGGCACTACTGGAAGGCAGTGGACATTTGAGTGAGTCTTGTGGGAGCAAGTTAGACCATCAGGGATACTGGGACCTCCCAGGCTCTGCCACCCTACTGTTCCCTGGCCACCAGGATACAGAGGAGGCCTCTTTCACTATGTGTTCCCACCAAGATGGCTTGTACTAACACAGGCCCAAAGCAACCCGACCCAACAACCATGGACAAAAGCCTCTAAAACAGTAAGCCAAAACAGACTTTTTCTCTCCCTTTAACTGGATTTACCTTGGGGTTTTGTCATAATGACTTAAAAGGTGGCATAAAGGGGATGGAGAGATGGCTCAGGTCTTTTGTCTTTTTTTTTCCAGAGCTGAGGACCGAACCAAAGGCCTTGGGTTATGCTAGGCAAGTGCTCTACCACTGAGCTAAATCCCCAACCCCCGCTCAGAGGTTAAGATCACTGGCTGAGTTCAATTCCCAGTCAACCACATGGTGGCTCATAACCACCTAAATTAGATCTGGTGCCCTCTTCTGGCGTACAGGCACAAATGCAGGCAGAATACTGTATAAATAATAAATTAATTAATTTTAAAGAAAAACAAGGTAAAATAAAAAATTTTGAGCTGAAGATATATGAGTTTCTGAATACCTCTATGTGCCTGCGGTCTAAAAAGCAAAACTTCCCACAAACTTAACAATCACAGGAGCCAGTAATTTGTTCTTTTAGTAAATCCATTCTCCCCCGACTCCAAACAGCCACCAATCTGATTTTCTGAAGTTCCAATTAGCTTTTCATATCATTTAGAAATGTTTGGAGCCAGGCATGACAAAACATGTCAATTCAGCACTCAAGAGGCTGAGGCAGGAAGATTACTCAAGTTGAGGGTGGGGGGAAGAGGGAACCTTCAGTACAAAGTGAGTTCAAGGTTAACCTGGGCTATAAAGCAAAACCAAGGCCTATATGGGGGAGAGGAGACAATCATATATCTATCAAAAAAACAGAAGAGCAACAACAAACTCACTAAAACCAACCCCAACACAGCTGAAATACATTGTTTTTCCAAAAGCACCTTTTTCTTCCCTCTCAGAAGTCATGTATGCTCCTCCTCTGCTCCTCGGCACTTTCCAGCCCTGTTAAGAGTGTAGATAGTCCCCAATTCTAACCACTTCCTTCTTCGAACTCCTGTACTGCCAACATGGACGGACGGCAATCTGTCCTCTCTTGTCAATCTGTCTTTTTGTCATCTAATTTGCAGGTGTTAGGCGTCCTGGTTTAAAAGGACACGATTTTCTCCCTGACACTTCACTCCATCATAGATCTGAGGGCAAAGAACAACAGCAAGGATGACAAAAATGAGAGTCAAGGGAAAAGTGCACCCAGGAGGAGCAGAATGTTCAATTCAGTTGGGGGGCAGAGGGGACATCCTAAGGTCCAACTTCTAGCTAAGATGACAGGGCAGTGTTTTGTCCATGGATGGGGCAAATAGTGGCCTGTTTGAAGTAAGGCGACTCGGGAACACAAAACCTGTAGGTGTGACCCTATGGGGTCACCACAAAGAGGAGTTGAGGCAGAGAAAAAAAGTTGGCATTGGGAAACATGAAGTCCAGAGGCCCGAACATACCCAAGATAGCTCTCTAAATTCTGGTTGCCTGATGCAAAAAAGCCTCTAGAACTTTCACTAGTAATTCTCAGGATTTGGAATCAGCTTTTTAAGAATGGGAGAAAGTGGAGGAAACAGTTAATGATGGCATCGGCTAAAAACCACAGGACAGCATCCTCTCAGAGAACACTTGCTCCAACTTGCCACCTAGGCAAAGGTCTACTTGTCTCTTCCTAGAGACATTACCTACTTTGCACAAGGGTAACACTCGCTCCCTAATTAACAGGATTGGTAGGAGTTAGGGTCTACAATCCCCAGGAATTAACAATTAGGAGAAGCCCGGGATGATGCCCAACATCACTGTCTGAGAAAGAGACGGCCACAGCAAAATCCACCCTGAAATATACCGAAGGATCCATGGAACTGGAGAGATGACAAGAATGCTTGTTATGGTCCCGGAGGACCCAGCTTCACTTCCTAGCACTGACATCAGACAGCTCACAACTACCTATAACTCTGGCTCCAGGGGATCCGGTGGCTTCTTCCGACTTCCGAAGAAGCACACACAAGTGACATAGGCACAAAAATGAAAATGAAATATTTTAAAAGGAGGTCTAAAATGAGGCCGCAGCACTGGGACATGGAATGGGAGCGGTGGCTGTCGCTGTGCCTTTGTCCTCACCCACAGAGCTGTTGTGCTAACAGACTGCACCTCCACAGCTCCACCAGCTACTCCATGGCTGAATTCTGACCTCCGTGCTTCAGGAAGATGTCACCCTGAGGCTAACTTCGGACGGCATTTCCTCCAGCACTATCACGCCAGCTTCATCTTAGAGGGGGGCACTCCCCTGGCCTCTTCAAGGCATCTGCTGCTGCCTTTAGCAGCACCCACTGCTCTTTTCTCTGTACTGACAGGACCTGCTGCTTTAGCTTGCCCTGAGGCGCCAGCACAGAACACTGGAAAGGAGCACTTACCCTCCTCTACCTACATCCTGCTGCCAGACTGACTCATGAATGAGATTTTAAAATTTGGCTTTTCTCTTGATCTTTAAGATATCAAAGTCATGGGGCTGGAGAGATGGCTCAGCAGTTAAGAGCACTGGCTGTTCTTCCTGAGGACCCAGGTTCAATTCCCAGAACCCACAGGGCAGCTCACAAGTGTCCTTAAGTCCAGTTCCAGGAGACCCAATACCCTCACACATGCATACATGCAAGAAAACACCAATGTAAATAAAATCTTAATTAAAACAAGATATTAAAGTCTATTAGTTTAGCCCATAAAGATTTTTAATTTTTTTGAATGAAATGTATGTTAAAAGTAAATCTGTGAGCAAGACATGGTGGCTCACGCCTTTAATCCCAGCACTCGAGGAAGAGGCAGGCAGATCTCTATGAGTTGGAGGCCAGCCTGGTCTACAAAGTGAGTCCAGTAGAGCCAAGGCCACACAGAGAAACCCTGTCTTAAAAAAAAAAAAAAAAAAAAAACAAATAAACAAAATGTAATCTATGTTAGTGTGTTTTTGAGATTAGAGGAGGTCTCTAAGAAGGAAACCTGGAAGCTTCTTTTTCTTTCTGTTACACAACTAATTTTTATTTTGCTTTCTCAAGATAATTTGAGATTTTTGTTGTCAGTAAAATTCACCAAAAAGTGAATTTTGACAAAAAGCCAAGGCAAAGAAAAACTCATGCATCCATTAATGCTAAACAGTGCTGAAAGTGGAATAGTACCAAGGATATATAGCATGTGCCTAAGCACCCGCATGCTGAGTTAAAGATATGTGCACTAATGAGGGTTATGCTGACACTAGCAAGTCCACTTGGCCTCTGAAGAAGGAAAAAAAAAAAAAAAACAAAAAAAAAAAAAAAAACAAAAAAAAAACAATAGCTGATTGGCTGAGAAGTGGGAGCAGTTTAGCCCAAAATGCAGATGGGGTACAAACTGCACAAGCTGAAAGAGGACCACAATGGCAGGCCCTGGGAATGGCAAACACCGATTAACACATTCAAGGAAGTAACCATGTGTTTTTTTAAAGGACTAGGTTACAGCGTATTAATGGAACCAATGTGTCTTTTGGTTTTTAAGCCCAGATAGCACCAGCAAGAGAGAAAGGAGGCAAAGAGAACTAGGAACTTGAACGGAGAAGGGAAGGTTAGGAAGGGGGTTGAAGAGAGGGAGAAGGGAGAAAAGTTGGGAGGGAGGGAGGAATAGAGTGTGAACAGACATCTAAAAATTCTCTCCATTGCCTTTATGGGAAGCACCCCTTTATACCCCAGATTCAGTGTTTCTGGGTGACTCACTGTCAGAGACTGGATGTCCAGGTCCCGGGAAGGCTTCCAGAGGGTCAGGGACCACCAGTGAGTCACTTTGCCAAGCCCTGGAGGGAGAGAAATGTGACAGTGAGAGGGACCGCAGAGTCCTGGACTCACTATACCAGGTCTGCTAGAAGGTTGTCACAGAAAAGAGAAGTAAAGCGAGGCAGGTCCTGTGCAAATCTGTGACAATTATTAGGCCGGAAGAGAGTTTCCCTGTTGAACTGCAGGTAAACAACTCGGAGCCAACATTTTATGCGATAACATTTGGTAAATCAATTACGAGAAAATCCACGTGAGTGATCAAAATGAAACTCTGTTCCGTCCTTCATGAAAAGACAGGTGTAATGCCTCCAGCCTGGCGACCAGCGCTGTGCCAGGGCTCTGGTTCCCCCTTCCAGGAGCGGGGCTGGACACTCTGGAAGCATCTGGAGGCGCCTGCGGGCCCTTCACTGTGAGCCCCTCACCAACGCGCCCCTCAACCTCCTCAACCCTCTCCTGCGCTCCAGCC